ATAACAAAAAAAAATTCGAAACCGGAATGTAAGTGTAGCATACCTTAAGTGCTCAAGAAAATAAATGAGGCTAGGTCGCCAAAAAGTGTGGGGTCGATGATGAAATTTGCCCTGTACTGAACTTTTGTACATTTTTGTGTTCATAAGTATATGTGTATGTGTTGTGAGGACCCAAAGTCGTCTCTCGTTTTGGCCTCACGGATTCACCGTGTCTGGTGAGGGGAAGGAAGTGCTAGGTTAAGATAGGTTAGGAATGGAATAAGAAGAGAATAAGATAGGATATGAACAGTATAAGAATAGAATAGGATAGAATAGGATTGTTTTAGTGATAGTTAAGTAGAGTCGTGTGAAGGTAGTCATCGAAGCTAGATTCCCGAGGAGCAAAGACGGGTATAGACAGGCAGTTTTAATTAAATGAATGATAGAATAAAGTGTAGAAGCAATGATAAAAAGAAATAGAAGAGTCTCTGCGAATATAAATTGCCTTGCGTGTTATCCTTCCCCGGTCCGCTGAGCTGCCCCAGCCCTAGGAATTGGGACGAAACGTCCTCGCAGCGTACTACCCTCACCCGTCAGTACCCAATAAAGCAAATTTACTTCAAATTCATTAAAATAATTTTATTTTTCCTCAAAAACGAAAGCGGGTTGTTCCACCGAGGAACCATAGCTCGTTTAAAAGAGCTGTTGGATTGAGGAATAGAAAGATGAGCAGCCGTGCGAATCGCTTTAGACATAATAGCAACATCATGGTTGCAGATTCCGTCAAATGGCTTTGAATTCAGAAATGACTCGCCCTGTTTGGAGTAATTGATCCAATCCGCTTTATCTAGGAGGAATTTGGCCTGTTTGCCTGTTTTGAAAGTGATTACTATTATGTAGATCATCAGAAATAGACCAGGAAACCAAAGCAAGAAGTGAGGGAGAGCAACATGTTTAATCAATATGTGAAAAAGTATAATGAGTTGAAAAGTGCGTTCGTTTTCCATCATTTGAAATGCAGAGATTGCTTTGGATGAACGCCTTTTCTAAAACAGTACCACGAGTGTTGTTCACTGTTGAGCCCCAGATGGTATTCCAGCTGTTAAAGGTGCCGCATATAATTAATGTGTGTGTGGGGGGAAGTACGGAGAATAAATAATATAGTTCTTGCTGAAAAAACGATTGCGAAGGTGGGATATAGAGCGAAAGCAGTGTAAATTTTATGTTTAAGGTTATTTGTATGGCTACGGCTTGTATATTTGAGCTTAAATTTATGCGTTTGTGAGGTATACTTGATTTTATAAAAACACCAATTCCTTGTTCGGAATATAAATTTTTATCAGCATTCGTGAAGTATCCAGTATATAATTTGGGTGGAATGGGATTAAAAGAGCTTCTACAAAGGGGTCTTGAAGCTATATAAAGGTTTGGTTGAAATCTCTTACGAGTGTACGGAGTTCAACAAAATTATTAATAAATCGCTTCAAGTTCCATTGTAGAATTTTAAAAACTTTATTTAATTGTAGTGACATCGAAACGGAGTGGTAGGTGGGTTAAGTTGACATGTCAGCATGTCCGTCGAAAAGGTCGCTATAGGAATTTTGCGTGAATAATTTGTTCTTACCAGCAGAATAATCTGTACTTAGGTGCGTATATTTGAAGTGCAACGAGTGGACACACGTGAATAATCTAAAATTAAAGGTTGATTGAGGGATGAAAGATTGGATTCATTACAGCTTGTAATTTGTTGAGTAGAGTTGAGAACTTGTGATTCTGGGGGATTTAGTTTATTAGATTTTGGCATATGTGTTGTTGTTTTAATTTTTTCAATATTTGCTGTTGTTTTGATTTTTTCAATATTATCTTTGGCGGGCAATGAAACTGATTTGGCAATGTAATTTTTGGTTGATGGTAGAACAGGTTTTTCATTGGAAGGAGTTGGAGTTAAAGGCATATTAGGCACGATTTGCGAGGCAATAGCAGCGTAAGTATTACTTTTGTTAATTCTTTGGTAATGATTTCGACTTTATGAGGTTTTCGGTTGCGCGCGGGTTCCCAGCGAGGACAAGTAAATTCCTATCGCGTAGAATCGATATGGAGTCTACATATGTTGCAATGCTATCCAGTGCTTTTTTAATAGCGAAAGGGCTGATTTGCGAAATTTTTATTGAGGGATCAACATATTTTTTGTCAATAGGAATGATGCTACTGGTTGGTAACACCGGAAAGTCGGAATTTTTAATTTTTTTTCTTCGGGGGGATACGTCTGCTAATAGATGAAATCTATTTTAGTTTTTATCTGGCGGCCCCGGGGCCATTATGCCTTATGGCTGTCTATTGATTAGCAAATTGAGAAATAACCACTCACTTGAAAAGGTTTGGGAACTGTGGAAGAAGGTTGGGAACTACTAAAGGAAAATGTCAATTGTTTTCAATTTTTTTATTTTTCTTTTTTGTTTTGTTTTTTTTATATTTTTTTCTTATATGTAGAGGAAACAAAAGCACATACGTGATATCCGCGTTAACCAGTTCTAGCAAAAACACTGAAAAGACAGGAGTTAAATACACAATCACACCGAAACAATTGAAAAATCGCAGACGAAAAGAAAACACGCACTACACTGAACACAAGTCGACTCGATGTGCTTCTTAATTGTAGAAATTATACATACTGTAAAAAGGGAAATAAAAACAACTTAATTTATTTTTTCATATAAGAAAATATATGCTATACAGATGAAGTTTTGGAAAATAATGGAGAGGACTGGAAATCAGTCTTTAGCCAGGCTTCACCAAATGCCAATCAAGCTAAATCTGCGTTCACATAACATAGGTAGTTTGGTAAATGGCAACCATTAAACCTGAGCATTCATTTGGTTTTTTTTCTACCTGTAGAAGCAGCTCAACCTCGCGTGGTAAAAATCGTTATAAAGGACACAATGATTTATTTGTTTTTCATTTGCTTCCCGCCGGGAATAGAATCTTAACATAATACTATACAAAATCCCCGTTCACCCAAAAGTTTGCAAAAACCAATCTTCAAGAAAACCAAAGTTTCTATGTTGTAGAGTATACAGAATTTATAAAATGGTTTGCAACACAATACACTTCTTATGCTGCAGGACGTTCTCAGTTTAGAAAATAGTTTGCAAAAATCTGGATGAACCAAATTCGTATTAATAACACATTATCACACACAAGAAACCCCCGCATTACAAATATATTTTTAATTAATTAATTTTTTTTTTACATGATTAATAATACCAAAACTTGCGCATACACATTTTCTAGATTTGTTGTAAAAAAATAAAATAGGTCAACTATTGATAACATTAGGTCAATGAATTAATTAAAAAAACCACAAGAGAACAATTAACTTCTTACACTGTAGGGTATTCTTAATTAATAACATGAATTACAACAGCACCAGAACGCCACACGAACACCGTTCAGGTGACATTCAGGTTGGCGAAACCGATTCAACTCATAAAAAAATCTTTTTTAATGTAAGTAACTCTAGAAGCCGTTATTTGCCGACTTTGTGCATTGAAATGTACGAAAAAAGCGATGCAGAAACCATCTATATTATTTACTGTCTCGCCGAAGAGCAAAGAAGTTTGTTTTGAAGCACGGCGAGCAAATGTATTGAAAGATCGATTGTCTGATTGGAACGGATGCAAAACGAGGATATCAGGGTACTATATTCCCAACAAAAATATTAACGTAACTCGCGAGGGATGACGATTAAGCAGTGCAATATTGGCTTTATTAAAATCATGTTTTATAGTTAACAAAACGATTTAACATGGTAGTGTTATGCAACTCGCCAGCCTAGTCGCCATGAAAGCACAAACAAATTTCTGAATGATGGGGATCCTCTGGCAAACTAAAAAACGATTTCGGTAACGAAACTTGTATTTAATTCCTTTAAAATTCTGATTTCAGAATTGGAGGAAGCATATCTAGTTTTTTGTTGGATAATCATATATACTGGTAGAGGTAAAGTAACATTTCTAGCGTATTTTCTCGAAACCTTTCTTTAAGCAGACGGTCATCAGGACATGTGATTTTTTTCGGAAATATAGAAACAAGCCGCAGTTGCATGTTCGATTTTCACCATGGCTGTACTTGCCATAAACAAAATATATTGTTGGCTAGTCGGAGGTATTGAAGAAGGGAGTGTTGAATAATATGCTGAACCGTAAATATCGAATACAAAAATTTGTTAATAAAGTCGGAGAACAGAACAAACCCATAAGACAAGAAAGAAACGAGTGTAAAACTTAAGTATTAAATAATAATGTAAGCGCAAATGGAAACGTGAATAAGCGAATTGAATACGCTTTAAGACAGCATATCGATATAATAAATGTTAATAGAAGTTTAAGATAAATACTGAAGTAATTATTTGCTGAGGTAAAGACGCGAAAATTCTCTCTCTTAGACGGAACGAGGGAATTTTCGAATTTTAACCCTCCTACGTTATTTTCCTTTTGAATCTCAATTAGAGTTCATTTTGGTAAGACCTCCGGTCCTCTTTAATTGCGAAAGAAACCAAGCTAAATTGCTCGCTTCGATGCATTATGTAAAAATAACCCTAAGGTAGGTCCGATCGAAAAATTATTTCACCTGTCTGAATTTGTTTAATAAATCGAAGAGAGTGTAAATAAGTGAATTAAGAAATAAACAAGAGATCGAACAAAGTAAAGAAAACAGTGAGAATACCAGAAAAATGTCAGAAGCTAACAAAATAAAATGAAAAAGACACCATGACAAATAAATTTATCGTAATTTGTGATACAGTAATAGTTAATAAACTTTATTAAAACTGCTTTCACACAAGAACGACAAAAGAAAGAACAGCGACTGCAACAGGCAAATAAAGATAATGATGCGATATTTGTGCTAGTATCTTATGTAGTGATAATCAGTATACTACTTAAATAAAATATAAAAACAATGTAAAATATTTATATGAAACGAAATGAATAATGTATATATATATATATACATATATATATATTGATTTGAAGATTGTTACTATAAAATGTTATGTAAACCAAGCTGCGTGTTATAACTGTTTGCAACTATATCTACAGAGGTATACACACAATTACATATAAATTAACTTTATGTCAGAACTATAACGAAACGATAATCTTTGTTGTACAACGCTACTTAGTTTCAGTCTTCGTTACATCAACAACTCCATTATCTCTAATATAAATATATAAACTTCATAATCCCTAATATAATTGTCATCGCCTGCAACAGCAAACAGTCGGTATATAATCATATTCACCGGATTTATTTAAGGTGTATTACATATGTATATAATTTTTTATCACATAATTTAATTTAGCTGATCTTCTATATATATTTACAAATTACTTAATCCGTTGACTTTTAATTAATGTATAGACATTGGTATTGCTTTTGCTATTGAAAGTTATATGAATTAAAAAAAATATATATGTATATATATATATATATATATATTGTGCTAAAGTTTTAGAGGGTTATTGGACCCAACAACGGGGTCTCCTATTGCAAATCATGCTTTATGACCGGCCCGTTCGGTAAGTAGCTTTCGTGTGCATTTCTTTTAGTTGTAACCGTCTGCGGAGCGTCCGTGCGTAAACAATTTAAAATGCCCTCATATCTACCGAACTAGCTAGCTCAGCAATGACACGTGCATCCGTCTCTGCAACCTTTGATCCTCTTCAAGTGACACGTAAAATTGGGCCTAAAAATAATAAAGTCCCTAGTTCAATATTCAGACAGATTTTGTGGATTTACAAAAATGTTTAGCAATACCGTAGTAAAGGACGAAATTAAAAATGCCTGAACTAAAATATCCTTCACAGCGTTACATAACAATATCTCAAAAAGCCAATATAAAGGTAACCATCATAAAAACAAACTACAGTATATTTCGGTTACTTAGACGGCAATCCGATGTCATTGAATTTTTTAAACGAAAGAAATGAGCGAATTACTCGGCATAATTATTGAAATAGGTCTAAATTGTTATTAAATCTTGAAGTTAAAAAAAACTATTTAACACCCTCAGCGTACATTAAACTCTGGTTGGATTTAATCATCGAAGGAAGATCATTAATGTATAAATTAAATGAAAGGAATTCTAAGTTGCCGCCTTGCGGGCCGCCAGACGTCACAGCAAGTCCATCCACGGTGCTGAAGTTAAAAAGAACCGTGAACAATAACACCTTATCCATTTCACTAACTACAAAGCAAGGCCAGAGGCCTGGAGATTGAAGAGCAGTAAGTTACGGTTAACTAAGCAAAGTCAGATCTGCTAAAATTAGTATATACGACATCCGTGCGAAAACCATTAGAAAAAGCCTTGAAAACATGGCAATTAAGCTCTAGGAGATTCGTAGCAGTTGATTTTCTTTTTAGGAAGCCACAGCAAAACCTATTTTTTCAGTTCAAACAATTTAGGTAAAACACTCAACTTGGCAATGCGTGTATAATGCTCGACTAGATATCGGCTTCCACTTTTGTCGATAGGAAATGCTTTTCCAACACAAAGAGAATAACCCTGTCTTCAGAGAAAGATTAAAGATCTTTCCAATGACACCATATACTTCGTTAGAGCATTACTTCGACACACAGGATGAAATGCCATTAGGCCCTGGCGCATGATTACATTTTAGCGATGTTAAAGCTTGTAATAAATAAATTTCGGAAATGGTCGAATTCAGTATGAATGCGGGGTTTATGATTTAACAGGGGTAATTATTTGATACATTCGCATCAACAGTACACAAGTACCGTCAGATACATTCTTGCAAAAATTTTTCGAATTTTTCATTTTTTTAAGCCGATTAAAAACGATATTCCATAAAGCCATCACAGGCAAACGCCAAGGATATATTAAAGAAGATAATAGTATGAGAACGCTGTACGTACGGCTGATAACCTTTTAATAAAAGTAAAGTTTTCCATCAAAGATCCATTGATAGAAGTTAGCTAAAAAGAAGAAAACAAATAGCTAACGAGAGGAAAATTATTTTATGAACAAAGCTTTCCCCAAATTCTTATAAAACGCATGGTCGCAGTCATTGGAAATGAAAGTAAGCTTAAAAACGGTAGCACAGCATATCCGAAAAGATTTGTATAATGCAGACCAGTAAAAGTTTTTTTTCTCAGTAATGAGATTTACAATGGATACAAACCGACCAGCTGCGTGACACTAAGCATCGTTGAAGAAGAAAACTATAAGTATAAAAAGGAGAAATCACAAAAACAATTGCACGTGGTATTTGTTAATTACTGGTACAAATGCTTTTGCGGGTGATGAAAAAAAGTAAATTTCGTACAACAGACTGAACTATGGGATATCAGAAAATAAGCTCCAAATTAAAAACGCAAATATAGCAGAAGTCAGTTATATAACAAAAAGAAATATGGTGCATCATACAGCGTACTGAACCGGAAGGAGAAGCTTGCTTTGGCGCCTAAACCTACAAATAATGGTGAGACACCTTCAAGATGTAGAACGGAGGCTATATTCCTGATGTAATCATTCTGGTCTTGATTGTACGTAAAGTAGAGACTTGTGTGAGAACTGGAAGCGTTTCTCATTTTGATGCCACTAATAAATTAAAATGTAATATGTCTTGTTCAGTGAGTTATCTAGAAATTGTCAGAGGATCAATTGTTAAATAATAGAAGCGATCTATACCAAGCTTTTTGATGCACGTTTGATGGGAATAGGGATGATTTGAAGAATTTGAAGTTGTACGATCCTAACTTCAAAGAAAGTAGCCGATTTCTATGTTTTTTTTTCCGATTTTTCACAACAGAACGCAGACATATACAGCTAACTAAGGTAGTTAGCTTTATTTTATACTCTTTAGGGGTAAGAATGAATCCGCTACAGAGCAGCATTATCTGGTCCGGTAAGTAAAGAAATCAACGAGATATAGTAAGAAGTCGTAGATTCGGAAAGCTAAGCCCGAAGACTATATCACGCTAAGGCATATAAACGCGTCAATCCTACAAGCGATTTTATTAGCGATTGTTTCAATATTACGGTTAAATTTCCATATCAATCCATTTACAATTTTGTAAACCCTGCAATGACAGATAGATAGACTTATGGTGGCTGTTAACCACCTATACACTAAGCAGGGGATAAAATTTGCATTACACTAGTGTAACAAAGTTCCTCGTCTTAAATCAACCAAAAGTTTATTCAACTCGTTACATTATTATACCAACTTCAGCCCGAACTTTTATAATATGCTAAATGTATATACTACATGCGTGTGCATAATAAATAATGGCATATAGACACATCTATGGATTCCCTAATTACATGCCTACTATAACATTTGAATGTCCGCACAAATCTTTTATGGGCTTGAGTGTGTTGAACTGTCGCAGACAGCTAACACTCTAAAATGAATCAAATATATTCGAGAACTTAGGAGGTTGAGGCATGTCAATTAATTCCTTTAAATGTAATTTCAATGCGAAACGAATTTCCGTAAGTTCATACATAGAGTTGTCTTACTGCTTCATATGCATAATAAAACTATCATCTCCAGTGAATTTTAACATAATTGGTTATTTGCTTAATTTTTACAACACAAATATTATAAGAAAGTGTTTTTTAATATTAGCCATTAAATTTACGGTTATATTATTGTATTGCTTTCTTCCTACGTACGATTGCGAATAATTAGGTAAACCATTTAAAATTCACAATGGCGAGATACCTTATATTTTCGAAATAACGTGACATAATTTTTTGTTTGTGTATTGACGTGTCGATTGACGGTACACGAACCTGATCTAAAATATGTACCGCAGACATTTTCTAGCATATATCGATCAGAAGATTGTCCACTCTATCTAAAATTTTAATATAAATATAATTGTAAACAATTGTAGATATAAAACAATTTCATTCGAACTGAATACATTGTCGCTTTTATTTATTTATTTATGTATAAGAACACTTTATGCCACTTCGGTTAATTTGTGTTAGTACTGTTGTAACTTTATTCTGTGTTAGGTTTCTTGAAAATTAAAGGCTTCCTATGAGCACATTCCTACAAACCTGTAAGAGTATTATTCATATGTAATTTCAATGAATGAATAGCATTTCGTATTCATTGACCGCAAAAACTCTTCCTCTTTCTGAGTCAGAGGCATGCATGCTTGTGAAACAACTGAAACGTTTGCAAAAGGCCACTTTTATATGAAAAAGAATGGAAAACTGCGTTCCTATTGACTATCAATGTTCGCCGTAAGTATTTACAGATTACGTCGCACGCAAAAGCATTTTGAAAAAATTTCTCAATTTTAAATTTTACAGTTTTATTTATTTATTTTTTTTTTCAATCTGAAGATTTCTTTTATTAATAGGAAGGATAATTAGAGATATTTAAAGCTTAGCGACATTATCTTACTAGAGAATTAAAAACAAAAAGGTACTAGAAATGAAAGAATGGAATAGGAAGTGAACAGAAAGAAAATCATGATTGTCTCAATTCAGTAAGTAATAGTTGCGCAAGCCAGTTTTAGTGTTGTGTGTCTGCTGCAAGCGCAACGTTGTATTTGCTCAAGACTTTTAGTGCTGTAATTATTAAATTAATTTCGAGTATGTTTTTTAGCAAAGAGAGAGCGCGGTTACGGCCTTCCATGGCAAATTGGCATCAGAACGATCAATTACCATTTTTAGCGCGAGCACGATTTAGCGCATTACCCAATTTTCTGGTATCGCATTCACACACTAATGAAGAAAAATTGACACTTTTTGTGGCCGTTCTATATGTAATTGATATGTTTGGAGCTTTCCCATTCATTATACTGCCTGGATTACTTGTTCAGTTGGGTTTCTTCGGCATACCTTTGGTGATATCAGTGTTGGTCTTACAGATTTACACATCATTTTTACTAAGCCAGTGTTGGATTATGGCTGAGGAATTAGATCCTTCTATTGTACATAAAAGCAGGTAATTTAATTGATTAGAAGTTTTATGAGTTTATCTATACATACTACTTATCGGCTTAGGTATCCTTACTCGGCTATTGCAAATTTAGCGTATGGGCACCGTGCTAGTTTTTTGGTTACTATCCTTCTGGATTTGAGCACATTTGCTGGAGGTATACCTAACATTATTTTGGCCGCTGAGAATTTGGAGATGTTGGGAAACAGTATTTCACAGGGTAAATCTTCTCTTTCATTCTGCTATTGGACAATATTAGTTGGTATGTTTTTGGCACCGCTTACATGGTTAGGCAGCCCTAAGCGCATGAGGTACTTTTTTTGTCCGTTTATATACTAGAATGTAATTTTTGCTTTATACCATTTTGCTTAGAGGTTTGGCTATATTTTCTGTTTGCATCATTGTGTTTATTGTATTGTCATTGTGGATTTGCCTGTTCAGTGCCACAGCTTGGGGCTCTCCTTTTCAGGGAATTAGCTTCGGTTTGTTTATATTGTTATGGATTTCAGTTGCATTAATCTTAGCATTGTTTGGTTTTCTAGCCCTTCCTCTCTCGACGAAACTTTTGAAAACGTACTGCATGCTAGTGTTTCAATTTGATATTCATCCGATGTTATTAACCTTGCAAATTGATATGCAGCAGAAACAGCTTGCTGGATGGGCTGCGTTTATTGGAATTGCAGGTAAGATTGAAAAAACATTAGTTGAAAAGATAATTGTGGGAAATAATAATGTTTTGATATAGCTCGGGGATGTAAAATTATTTTAGATATGTTTAAGTCGATCTGTATACTCTTCACGTTTTCAGCTTTTATACAGTACAGGCCCACAAGTATCTTGACTTAGAGTTAGACTTACTTTTCCCCTTGATGGAGCTTGAGTTTCCTTGCGCGTTTTAGGGAGAAATCATTTTTTGACCAGGGAGACATATTATTTTTGAATTTTTTTTGGATTCGGATCTTAAGAAAGCATGAAAATCAGATGGCTGACAGGAGTTTACCGTGAGCGGAGCATCTTTCAAGAATGGGAAAATTGTCCACCATCATGCAGTGTCTGCAGTTAATATTTCGCGCTTCATAAAAATAAAAAGACCGCCCTTAAATTTTGGAAGAAACTTCTTCCAGGTACAACGTAAACTGATAACACCTTTACTTTTCGGGAGTTTTGCTTATTTGTACATTCCTACTTATGCTAAATAAGGTAAAAAGAGTGAGCGTGTGCACGGAAGTCTTCGCCACAGCTGAACTAAACTTCGTTACGAGTTGGTATACGGCATTTTTACGACATCTTTAAAATAATAATCTCTAGTAACAAAAGTTTACGGTTTTTTGAAGGAAACATGAACTTTTTCATTCAAATACTGCCAATCGCGTAAAAATTATAATTTTTAAAAGCTGCAAAGTACTCCTCTATCTGTAGGTATATAAATTTGCTTTCGGATTGAAATTTTTGTAAAAGCTGCAGTGTCTGCAGTCCAACTAAAGATCCAGCACGGGAATGAATCATGTGCCTCCACTTTCAAATGTTTTTCAAAAACAAATTTTTTTTGGGTATTAAAAATGGGCTAAAATTGCTTAAATATTTTTATTCCATTACCTATTCTATCATCAAAAAACGAGTGTTTAAGTTTGCTACATAGATTCGTTTCCTTAAGATATACGTAAGCAAACAGTTCTTTACGCCGTGGTGGCCGATAGTTAACAAATGTTTTCCGCGTCTTACCGGACGTGATTTATTTCACTTTTAATTATTATCTATTTATTTTAGGAAGGGATGTTGGGTGAATGTTACTTAATTGGTTGAATAATATATGTATCTGCGAAAATCTCAAGCTGTATTTGAAAAGTAAAAATTTCTGTGGTGCACGCTTGCGGGTTGTGCAACTAGCTTACGTTTAAAACTATCATTTTATTTTAAATAGCAATTTATCATACATAATAGACTACAAGTTTGGTATACGCAATTTTTGTGTCAAATAACTGCTATGGACCAACTTTCATTATAAAATATGAAAAATCAGAACTGATGAACGCATTCTTTTCATAAGCATACGTGGGAGACGATCCGTTAAAGTATTTCAAAAATTGTGTCTTGGAGAACAAAAGCGTATGGACAAAGACATCTACGAAGGTCACGTAGGCGGAACAGATAAACAGACGGACCGCAAGCAGACAAGCTTAGATCAACTCAAAATCATATCCGATTTAATGGATCGTCGGTCTATCTTGTGTCCTTCTCTGGTTACATACGCCTGTTCACCCTCATAAAAAATTTTGAGAGAGTGTGGAACTGAGATCGACATGTGAATTCAATATTACAATTTGTTTGCCATTTGTAGTAGATAATGACCCGAAATAATACATTTAAGAAGACTCTCTTAAAACGCGGAATAGACAAAATAGCACAAATCCGCTTGCAAATCGACGTTCGACAGTCAAACGCGTAAATAGACGCAATCGATGCCAAAGCTTGTATAAATAATTTTCGGTCGTTTGAAAGTGTAATGAAATTGGTCCGTTCAACAAAGTGGCGAATTCGCGTTTGACGACAATACATATTTTCTATTTGTATCGTTACGCAAAATGCGTTTTCCCTATTTTGCGGTGTTCCCCATATATTTTTGTTAATAAGTTCGTCACAATGAAATGATTTTCAGTACAGGGACGATTTTATTTACCACAATTATTTACGGGAACTTATATTAACAAAGTTTCAATGCTTTTTGTGGTTTTCGCTGCGCGCTTCTACTACTACTTCGCTTATACATTCTTTTAAAAGCAAGCGATCAGTACAAAATTCCGTTCTGAAAACTTCGTGCTGAACCTTTTTACTTGTTAACTTTTCTAAAAATTGTTGTTCAACTTTTTATCAAATCGTCAGCATAAACCTAATTTACTTTAAAGTAACATAAATCTGGGGCCAGTCCAGGGTTCACGATGTCAAGTAAACCCGATCGTAATTTTTGCATTGGTTTATGTTTCTCGACCTCAAGTCGACGTAGTGGGTTTACAGCAGTCGGCAGAGTATGCATGTTTTTCACTATAGAATGAAAACTTTTTCTAATCATAAAAATGTTGTCCAGTAGCGTATTCGAATGGAAAATAGAGTCAAATATTAAGATTTGATGTATACTTATTTGTTTTAGTTTATATTTAGATAAATTAAAAATTATTTCTTCAGAGTCCTTTTTCGCGCTTAGTTAATTGTTTACTTTCGTCGGTCTCTTTACATATGTGCTTATGCCTATATTGGAGCGCTTTTCTCAATTTCTAGAACCGCAAAATGGTCCTTATTTTTGATTTTAACATTTTAAGAATTTCGTTGGCTCAAATGTGTGATTTTCGTAACAACATATATCATTTATAATTTGTTTATATTTACTTTGTCATTACACATGTATTAGTAACTACATATATATTGTATATACAATATTAGTAACGTGCTCCTTGGCAATGGTGGGATCAGTAATAGCTGCTTATAAATTTGGAGCTATGATTGGCGAAAACGTGCTGAGAGTATTGCCGACTAGTCCCTCCCTATATATAATGTCAGTACTGATGTCACTGCAATTGTGTTTTTCTGCGACAGCAAATAGTTCCGCCATGTTTTTGCAACTTGAAAATTATTTTAAAATTTCAGAGAGTAAGTAAGAACACGCACATGGAATAGTGCTTTGCATGCATTTGTAAAAATGAAAAATCATGTCGTATTTGTCAGATTTTTCAATAAAACGTATGGCGATTCGAACATCCGTGGTTATATTTCAAGTGGTCATATCAGAATTTGTGCCAAGTTTTGATGCTCTTATGGACATTGTGGGCGGTACTATAACAGGCCCTTTGGTATTTATAATGCCGACGCTATTCTACAGGCGCTTAGTGCGAATGGAAAGTTCGCACCATCGTACAGTTACAGAAGCTTCATACGGCTCGATAGCATTGGATTTAAATTATAATCCTATAGAAGATTTATCACCACAATCACTGTTAGATGAAAATCTGAAAACGCAATCGATACTACGTATATGTTGGCAGCAAGCTGTTTACACTTTTGTTCGTTTACAATGTGACTTATCTTTGTCAGTGATGATACTTTTTTTGGGTGCCTTGGTCACATTCTTTGCAACTTATTTAAACATATTTGAATTAAGTACACTTTTTCACAATAACTCGCCATGTTTTGGAAATTTCACAACAGTTAATAAACCTTGATGAAGTAGAAATATATACATTAAATTTTGAACAGCTTCGGTTCGCCTACAAACTGAAAATGAATATACTGCATTTTATACATGATAAGTGGAAGAAAGTAATCTATCTAGTGAGAGATTCAATATTTCACAAAAGAAAGAATTCTGCAAGCCAAGCCTTCGCTTGGGTGAGCTTGGTTCCTCCTAAAATTTAGTTTCGTTAAATTATCTGAAAAATATATGAGCTCGTTTGTTAACAGCATTCAGTTATGATTACAACCATGATGCAACTCGCTGTTAAAAAAGTTTACGTGTTTTGTCATTTAAGCAAAAGGGAAACTTAATAACGATAACAATGATAACAGCAATTATAATCATAAAATAGCAGCAACGACTAAAGCAAATTTAACTCTACTATTCCGGGAAAAATCAGTATCAAGAATATGGACTATAAAAATAAATATAAAAGTAAAATTGCAATAAATATAATATCAGCAATACTACATTTTGAAAACAATAACTACAATAATACCTAAAGATCTTCAAATACTTAATCTAATAATCAAATTTTCTTTTTTTTGGCTTCTACTTAACTTAATTTACCTATATACATTATAAGAGCCCAATCTTATTTACCTACAGAAATTCAAAAAAGCAAGGAAAAACTATGAACTTTGATATAATAGAGTGTTTGCTTAAGAAATGTGTGCTTAATTCTGGTCCCGGTAGTGATCGACCTATTGCTTTCTGGGCTTATCATCGATTTGCGGGCACTAAATGTTGAGGTTTTAGTGGTAAGCAGATGGACGTAATAGCTAATATTGTGTTAATTATAGAAAAATAGGTATCGATTTGTACAAGTTATTAGCACAATTCAGAAGTCATTTTTCAGCAATGGTGAAACCATAACTGGCTGAAAAATTTAACTCTTTTTAGTTTTTAGACAAGCCGTGTTTAAAAGTGGAGCGAATGAAGCCACCGTTCCAAGATGTCGATTACCAATACCAGCTCCTTCGAGTCTAAACCTTGCTGTTCTACTTTTTGAGGCTTGCAGAATGGTTGACTTTATGGCGTCTAATCTGGATCCGGATAAGGCTGCTGCTTCTGTACCAACCCGAGTTGCTTAACAGGGTTCTGATGATGGAATTGATAAATGTCTTTGCTAATTAAATTCGAGTTTAGTTTCATCATTTTACCTTTTTTGTATAGTCGCAAGGTTGACAACACTGCACGTGTTTTGATCGCATCACTTTCTAGTACTTATTAAATTTACAAATTTTTTTATAATTTGTTTAATTATTATGCTATATATTACATTATGTATATTATATTTCGAATTGTTATTGATTTTTGATATCGCTTTATTTTCTGCTATCAACATTTGGTGCTCTTATGTGTATTCTCCATTGGTTTTTCTTTTTTTGTCTTTGTTTCTTTGGTTAATTTTTGTTTGTCTTTCAAGTGCTCCAGGTTGGTGGTATTTAGTGTCATGAAAGACTGTTTGATCTCCTCTTTTATAAAAGAATTTTTCGGTGCAGTTGCAGGTTTGAAGATATTTTAGTCGTTAATGTGCTTTTTCATTATTGTCTTATATCTCTCTGTTTTGCTTGGCGTGATTTTTTGCTGTTTTTATTTTCTTAATTTACTCTTACTTACAATCTACCCCATCCATAGCTGTTCTCTGCTGCAGTTTAATTACACGTACGTTACGTACTATTTTAAGTTACCATTTTATATATTTATTTTTCCTTGTTAGTCTTCAAAAAATTTTATTTTGTCGCCCAATATGGAATGTTTGTTCACAGGATGTCGATCCAAAATTGGACCTAAATCGGGTCGCTCCATTACATGCTAGCTTTGTCAGCGATACTGCCGCTACAAAGGTGCTGGTATTAGTGTTCTGAGTTAATCGACAATTGCCGATATCAAATCACAAACTCGATCTCCATTCCGTATTTAGTCATTTCAGGCAGAGGCGTACGAACGTTTAAGGTCACTTAAATATGGTTGTGTGCCTGAGCACACAATCGTTTTTTGAAAGCTGTTTTTTCCTCCTTTTTTAATCTTTTTTTGAAAACTGTTTTTTCCTCCTTTTTCCCCTTTTGATGGGAGAGCGGCTTTCTTATTCCAATTAACAAAGGTGGGAGCAGACATCTGCTCGAAAACTAGAGAGGCATTGCCAAATTGACCGTTTTAACTGTACTGTTTGAACGAATCAAATACTTTCCGCTATTAAACTTTACATTCCTCCATTTCAGCACGGCTTCCTAGAAGAAATGTCAACCGGTACGAACCTCTTGAAGTTTTCTTGCCATGTTTGAAAGGCTTTCACTGATTTTAGTAAAGCGCTTGACTAAGTAAAATGATTGATCTTGAAACTCCAGGCCTCTGGCTTCTCTTTATACTTATTGAAACGGATAAGCTTTTATATTCATAGTAGATCGTTTAAGGTTCCGTTTAACTAGCCGTTTGGGATCCTATCTGTTTATCTTATACATCAATAATCCCCCTTCAATGACTAAGTCCACCTATATCTCGATGTACGCTAAAGATGTTAAACTGTTTTCTTCTTTTGTTTTGGAATCGCTTAAGTATCTCTTTCATTCCGATTTACACCACTTGATTACGTGGTGTTCTCTAAGTCTTATGAAATTAAATTTAAAAAAGTGTAAGAAGCTTTCATTCTCAAGGAGTACCCTATCTATCATTGAAAAGGTACCATAGTTTGAAATGCCTATATATACCATCGGCGTTTCCTTCTTCATTAACTTAATATATGGTACTACTGATTCGCTGACATTACTTCAAGAGATAAACTTCAACGTGCTGAACGGTTTCTCTGGGAACTTATCTTTCATAAAGCCTAGTTAATGTACATATAACTGCGACTTCTTTAATCATTTTAAAGCGTTTTATTCATTTTTCTTTATTTTTACTTATTTTATTCACTTACGCATGAAACTCAACCAAAGCAAATTAACCGCCGTATTCAACTGATTCTTAGAAGAAAATTTTATACTAATTAATATTAAAAACCAGTATAAAGTATAAAAAGAGAAATAAGGGAACACAATTGTAAAAATTTTTAAATAATATTCATGTATAAATAAATAAGAACGAAAAAATCTAAGCGATATTTATAGCTGTAGTTTGATCTCAATATAAGATTCATTAAAAACTATCAAATTAGATCTCCTAAATATGGGCGCTTTACCTATTTTGTGTCTAGATTAGGTTCTTATCTAGATATCTTCATAGGATTCGAAAACTGATCGATTGCCAAGCAAGTCAAGAAATTATCAACGCAGAATTGTTTTCAATACGTTGCAAATCATCTGTCATGAAAAAAACCCCTGTAGCATAAAAACTGAACTCTCAACATTACCAAAAATCAGTCCACAGGTTTATCAAAATTAACAAAAATCAATCCTCAGGTCTCTCAAAATGAGCAAAATCAAGCAGAATGTGTCTGAAAATTACCAAAAATCCGCCCGTATGTGTCTGACTAAAATCCAAAAATCATATAATAATCGTAGTAAACAAAAGTTAAGAAGAATGCACCACGCAACAATTTTATTTTGTTTTTGTTTATTATTATTATTATTATTATTATTAATTTCGCCAGAGAAATAAATTCTAAGACTAAACTCTTAAAAGCACTAGCATCTAAGGCTATCGGCTTTTTATTAAAAACTCTACCGCACTTGAGATTCGAACCCACGACCATTGACTTGCTAGTCGAGATTCCTCCCCTTCGGCAGTAGGCGGATATTTTTTTTTTGTTTTTGTTTAAATTTGATACATTTGCATGAAATTTTTTACTAGAAACACCTGTAGCATAATAAATAAAATTTCTTTATTGTATACAAAAAAGCTCTCCAAATGTTTTGAAGTCTCTGGCAGTTACGCAAGCTGCTTCGAGAAATTTTATCACATTTTCAAGAAAGTCAAAACCATCCCCTTTGGGAGTTTGAAGCATTCCAAATACAAAATCGATCTGAATATCCTCAAGTCTGCAGGTAATTCTAAAAGGAATTTGCCTCACTCATATCTTCAGGTAAATTCAAACTCTTCGAAGAACTATCTTTTTTATTGAACTCCGTCTTGTCAGATAAATTGTGGTTTCTGCTAAATCCAATAACATGAAAAGTATTCGTTATCTTCTTAATAGCAAATCAACGCTGATATTATTCGAATACAAAGATCCGTAAAACATGTATGCTTCTGAAATCTATTCAGTTCTGTTCTGACCACTGGTACATCTTTGCCTTTTAATGAAGGGTTCATCAGCAAAATTTCTGCCGTTCACGTTCCGGTTATATTGGCCGCTCAATTTATAGGCCTTATCCATATTTCTTTTACAGAAAAAAAAGAAGATATTATAAGCGAATTTTCATCAACATTTATTGAAAATTAGGCCTTTTTGCCATATAAGCGTGGATTTTCCGAAGAAACGGTTATGGGGCAAAAGGTTCAAAGCATTGTCTTATTCAAAGTTTACACACCAAAATGACACCGACCCTGTGACGACTCTACAAACCATTAAGAAATGTGCAATGAAAGGAGACTATGACGATGCCCAAATATGTATGCTTTTGTCTTTTTTGGAGTATCTGAAGAAGAAAGAGGGCGTAAGGACCAAAGTCGCAGGACTTGTTATCAAGTTACTCCGATGTATTTAAATTAGGATAAAGTGCAGTACCAGAGTGTTAGTGGCGCAGCATAAGGTCTATGACATAAAAAATGTCAAGCAAACGAGACCAGCTGACAGCCCGGTAAAGATGCAGAAGTAGGAATAAGATCTTATATACGTAATAGAATTTAATTAAAGTAAATTTGAAGTAGATAATTAATGATTGCTTCATCGTTGGCTTTCTTAGAATTTAGCTAACTGATCGTCGTAGCTAAGCCAAACCCTCTCCTCTCTCCTCTCCTTTCCCTGTGAGTCATTTATGAGCAGGCGCTTATTTAAGATAATGCTAACCATACACATACTCCAACTAGCTCATTGCTGATACACAA